TATACAGTCCCATCTCCCATATCCTGAAGGTATACCACTCCCTCCAACCGCCCCCCTCCCCCAAGGACCCCTCAAACTATACAGTCCATATCCTGAAGGCCCCCCCTCCTATAGTCTTCCCCGGGACCGGAATGGGGTGACATTCAGTTCTCTGATAAGCGATTATGTTTTCACCGGTTTTTCCGACTTGGTTCCATCTCAGCGATGGCGGCGCGGAATTACTTCAGGCGGGTTTCCCGATGGTGATACTGGACCAGGTCTGTGTAATGTGAGCTGAAATGGCCACTTGTAGTCTCCATAGCAAGCCCGTGTGATAGGGTGACACCGCAGGAGTACAGACAGGAGACAGGGACAGAGCGTTGTCACCCTGTAACCAGAAATGTCTGAGCAAGGACCTCCATGGCAGGATCACCAGGAATGATGAAGTAGTCTCCATAGGAAGCCCCATGTGACAGGGTGACACCGCAGGGCCGTTAGGAGTCACCGGACGGCAAATGTATGCGTCACAGATGGAACTACTCACCTTATTGGTTCCAGAAACGCACCAAACGTAAGCGCTTTCCCATCGCACCTGACAGTCCCGGCAATGGAAGAAGCCGTATTTCTGCTCCAGGAACTGCCGAGAACAAAGAGAACATACTTCAGATCACAATACAACTTCTGTCCGGCACGCCGGGTGTAATTCCATAAGGCCGTGAAGCGGGGGGTCTCGGGACAACACCACTGGGGACAAGGCCGTGAAGCGGGGGGGGGGACACACCACCACTCGGGACAACACCACTGGGGACAAGGCCGTGAAGCGGGGGGGGGGACACACCACCACTCGGGACAACACCACTGGGGACAAGGCCGTGAAGCGGGGGGACGACGACACACCACCACATAACCAGCTTTCAAGCACGGTGCACACGGAAGGGCTTCATACAGGACAACAGCAAGAAGTTTCCCCGCACACACAGAAGCCGGAACGCAACAAAGCCTGTCTGACCGCGAAGGGTAAAAACAGAGCGAACCCAATTCTATCTTCTGCCCCCATGTGCTCCAAGATGGAGACACCACTGGGGGGGACAAGGTCACAAAGCAGGGGGACACCACTGGGGGGGACAAGGTCACAAAGCGGGGG